AAAAACTGAAAAATTATAAATTGAAAACTCAAGAAACTCAAATCGAACAATTGCAAAATTTAAAAATTGAAATTTTAATAGTTGGAAAATTGAAAAATTAAACAAATTAAAACTGGAATACTCGAAAAATTGAAAAAAAAATGGAAAATTGAAGAATTGAAAAATTCAAGTGACTTCTACGACCCGAAATCTACCAGAAAATTTAATTAGTTAAATTTCGAAAATCGTCCAAAATGGATCGAAATTTGCATAGTATTTACAATGGGTACTACATCTTGTTAGTTTTTGCTACAAAAGACTGATTTTGGCAATTAATATACCCTCTAAGATAAAAAATCGAGAAACTTAAAAATCTAAAAATTGCTAAAAAGAAAAAGCGAATCGAATCGAAAAATAGGAAGCCCAAAAATTGTATCATCGAAAAATTGTAAAGTTGAAAAACTGCAACTTTGAAAGATCGAAAAATTGAACTATTAAATATGTATTGAGAAATTGGAAAATTAAAAATCGAAACTTTTAAAATTGAAAAAATGAAAAGTTGAATAAATCAAAAAGTTTTAAAAGTTTTGAAAAGTGAAGTGATAACGGTAGAGAGAGGAAAATTTCATTTTTGAAAAAATCGTTTAAATCGTTTATGAATTCTCAAAAAATTCATGTTTGTAAATCTTGGCGTGCTGATTCCAATAATATAGCGAGTTTAGGATCACGGAACAATATTTTCGAAAAATGCGGTAAAAATTTGAATTTTTTGTAACTTTGAAAACTGAAACAGACAGAAAAAGTAAAATAAGAATCTTCTGATATACACATTTATATAACTTTGATACATTTGTCTACAACCAAAATGAAACAATGAAATACACGTATTTTTGACAAAAAATTATATAACCTAAATTATTTTGACACTGCAGCACTCTAACAGGCATATCTGAACTACAGGAAGAACAAAACATAATTCGCTCATCGCTCCATTCCGAGCCGAACCCTCGCAACCTGTCGCGAATTTGCATTTAGAATCGCTGCAGACACAATAACACTTCGGAGCCCATTTCGAGCCGAATAAAAAAATTCTTTCAAACGCGAAATAAATTCCAGCGCCGACACTTTGATTGGGAAAACGAGCAGTGAAGTAGTAAACAAAAAATCAAAACACAATAAACCGGGCGGGGATAAATCAAAGACGCACGTAAATCATTCGGAGCTGGCTTAATCTAAGACGAACTGGTGGATCGATTAGGGGAGAGTTATGTCGGGGGATTACATATCTGGACGTAACGAGAGCGAACAAAGCGTGTCTGCGGCCATAAAATCGCCGATTTAAACCGAAAACTTTACCAGAAGCATGGAATAAGGCGAACTTCGCAGCGGGGGTGGAAAAAGTTTGATAGAATTGATGTGCGTGTTGACAACGATTCTATTTTGATAGCGCCCACGCGTTCGCCAATGTATGCAAAGAAGGAAGGAGAACAAACAGCGATTGATAATAGTTTCGGATGAAAAATTTCGCCTGAAATAAAGAAGTAGTAAAAATTAATTCGTTAATCCTTATAAATATTTATAGGCGCTGATTTCGCCCCGGTGCTCTATTCTACTTACTAAACTGTAATGTTATTCAGCTCTGTAACAACAACGTTCAAACTTTTCCTGAAGCAGCCGCTCAAAAGTTTCGAATATTTATTCATCAGGGCTTGTCTGCGTCTGTGTTTACATCACAATTTACATCGTGAGTATTTTAATATAGAGATTATTTTTTCGGGCTTTATTGCACCTTATATGTGAAAGTTTTCCGGCGCGTTATGATACCGATTTTCGTATTTTCCGTTTTTTTTTTTTGTGAAAATTTACACGATTTTCAGTTTTCAGTAATAAGTTAGCTTGGTTTTATTTTGCGCTTATCGTGCGTAGTAGAAACGTTCAATTTGCACCCCTATAAAATTTTATTGGGGTGATCACTCAAAAATGCGGCCCAATGAAACCGCAACCATAAATTGTGTGCTACACTTAGCGAGCCATTTTCTGTGCAGGGCGGGATTTGCCACAAACAAATGGTGGAAATTTTAATAAAAAAAATTTTTAATATGAATAATAATAACAGCACTAATAATAATAACATTACTTAGGGAACGTTATAGTTGATTATATTTCAACATTTAAAGTCACATCATAATAATAATAACACAAAAAGTGTGTCAGAACAAAAGAATAAAAAACGGGGACAAAAAAATAAAAAAAAAACGATGAAAGCCAAGGAAATGGTGACAAAAAAAGCAAATAATAAAATCTAGTAAAACAGTGACCTGAAAAAACGTTTAAAAAAAGCTGCAACAAAGCGACAAAAAAGCGAATAAAAGAAAGTCACACAAAAAACACGCCAAAAAAATTCCGATCACCGATGAAAAAGCGACAATACAAGCCCACAAAAATTACGACAAAAAATTTCTTTTTTTCTAAAAATCTGGACGTTTCGGGTAAAAATTGAACACGGCGTCATAAACTACATCGTACGACTATGATATAAAAGGAAAATTATAAAATCACTATATAATTTTCCTTTTTTGAATGTGAAAATTTTCAATTTTTTGATTTTTCAATTTTTCGGTTTGAAGTTTTATGATTTTCATTTAAAATGCTGAATAATAATTATAATTTTTCAAATTTTTCTATTTATTGGGTTCTAAAACTTTTTCATTTTTTCAACTTTCCATTTCATCAATTTTTAAAGTTTCGATTTTTATAATTTTTCAATTTCTCTATACATATTTAATTTTTCATTTTTCGATCTTTACAATTTTTCAGTTTTCGAGTTTAAATACTATCCCCGCCCACCCGCCCTCTATTTTCTTAAAGGATATATTAATTGCCAAAATCAGTATTTTCTTTGCAAGTACTATGTAAATTTCGACCCATTTTCGACGATTTTCGAAATTTAACTAAATACATTTTCTGGTAGTTTTCAGGCCGCAGAAATTACTTGAATTTTTCAATTTTTCAATTTTGCATTTTGTTTCAGTTATTTTGGATTTGCAATTTTTAGAGTTTTTCAGTTTAATTTTTTTAGTTTTTCAATGTTCCAATTTTTAAATTTCTCAACTTGTAGATTTTGCAACTGTTCGATTTCTTGAGTTTTCAATTTATATTTTTTCAGTTTCTGGATTTTAAGTTTTTAATTACAATTTTTTATTTTCTTTATTTTATCAATTACTCGATTCCTCTTAATTCAAAAAACCTAAAAATCGGGATATATGTACTTAATTGTAAATTTAAAAAATCGAAAAATTGAAATCTCGAAAAGTTATGAAACCGAAAAGTTGAAAAATTGAAATATCGAAACATTGCAAAATTGAAAAATCGAAAACCGGAAAACTCGAAAAATTTAAAAACCGGGAAATCGAAAATTCGAGATGTCGAAAAATCGGAAATTTAAAAATTTTAAAAATTGAAAAATCAAAACATCACAAAATTGTTAAATCGAAAAATTAAAAAATTGAAAAAGAAGAAATTGAAAATCGAAAAATTGAAAACTCGTAAAAATCTAAAAAACCGGGAAATCGAAAAGTCGAGATGTCGAAAAATCAAAAAATTTAAAATTCAAGAAGCATTGAAGTCTCGATAAATCGAGAAACCGAAAAATCTAGAATTTAAAAAAGTCAAAATCGATTTTTGACTCCTGGATTTTTCAATGTTTCGATTTTTTTACTTTTTCGATTTTTCATTTTTTCAATTTTTAAATTTTAGATTTTTTAATTTCTAAATTTTAGATTTTTCAATTTCTCAAGTTTTCTAATTTTTCAAATGTTTCAATTTCTTAATCTTTTGATTTTTCGACTTCCCGGTTTTAGATTTTCTGTTTTTCAATTGTCATTTTGTCAAATTTTCGATTTTTTAATTTTTCAAATTTGACTTTTATAAACTCTCAATTTTTCGATTTCTCAATTAAGCGATGTTTGGATTTTCCCATTTCTTGACATTCGAGAGTTTCGATATTCCTGTTCTTCAATTCTTTAATTTTTTGATTTTTCAGGTTTTTGATTTTTTAAGGTTTCTATTTTTCGACTTCACTTTTTTGATTTTTCGATTTTTCAGTTTTTAGATATTTCAGTTTTAGATTTTTCAATCTTTTGATATTTTATTTTTTCAATATTTCTTAATCTTTCTATTTTTCGACTTCCTGGTTTTAGATGTTCTTCAATTTTGCGATTTGTTAATTTTGCATTCCTGATTTATCGAGATTTGATTGTTCAAAAAAAATCCCGACACCGATAAAAATGCGACAATAAAAACCCACATACATAAATTACGACAAAAAATTCGTTTTTTCCAAAAATCTGAACCTTTCGGGTAAAAATTGAACACGGCGTCATAAACTACATTGTACGACTATGATATAAAAGGAAAATTATAAAATCACTATATAATTTTCCTTTTTTGAATGTGAAAATTTTCAATTTTTGGATTTTTCAATTTTTCGGTTTGAAATTTTAAAATTTTCATTTAAAATGCGGAATAATAATTATAATTTTTCAATTTTTTTTATTTATTGGGTTCTAAAACTTTTTCATTTATTCAACTTTCCATTTTATCAATTTTTAATGTTTCGATTTTTATAATTTGTCAATTTCTCTATACATATTTAATTTTTCATTTTTCGACTTTACAATTTTTCGGTTTTCGATTTTAAATACTATCCCCGCCCACCCGCCCTCTATATTCTTAAAGGATATATTAATTGCCAAAATCAGTCTTTTCTTTGCAAGTACTATGTAAATTTCGACCCATTTTCGACGATTTTCGAAATTTAACTAAATACATTTTCTGGTAGTTTTCAGGCCGCAGAAATTACTTGAATTTTTCAATTTTTCGATTTTGCCTTTTGTTTCAGTTATTTTGGATTTGCAATTTTTAGTTTTTCAGTTTAATTTTTTTAGTTTTTCAATTTTCCAACTTTAAAATTTTTCAACTTTTAGATTTTGCAATTATTATTATTATTATTATTATTATTATTATGTTAGGCGATCGGGCAGAGGTCTACGCCTGTTATGCCCGCGCCGTCGTGTTAGTGGGAAGTACCCAATATTTCTATTGGGAGCTGTAAATGTCATATTTAATTTTAAAAGCCATTGTTGATTGTGAACTGACTATTTCTTCCGGCAAAGAATTCCATTGCTGAAAAACTCTATTACTCAAGAAGTGCTGCCTTACCGTAGTCTTAAACTTTTCTTTAGCCAATTTAAAAGAATGTCCTCTAGTAAGAGTATGTGCACTAAGTATGAAGAGCTTGTGTATCGGAGACGACTTATTGGACATGGCTTGAAATGTCGTGATAAGATCACCTCTTACGCGTCTATTTGATAAAGTTAGAATTTTCATTATTGCGAGTCTTTCATGGTATTGAGGCCGTACTCTACCAAACGGTATTCTTGTAGCCCTACGTTGGACAGATTCCAGCAAAAGGATGTCTTTCTGTAAAATAGGCGACCATACACTGTTCGCAAATTCTAGTAAGGGTCTTACAAATGTTTTATATAATTTCGCAAAGACAATAGGACTACTTTTTTGGAATGCCCGTCTCAGAAGGAACAGTGTCGAATTGGCTTTTTAAAAATGTGGAACGCTTCACGATTTTGCGTGTCATCCTTGCGCATCCTTGCTTGTTCGATTTCTTGAGTTTTCAGTTTCTGGATTTTCAGTTTTTCATCTCAATTTTTTATTTTCTTTATTTTATCAATTATTCGATTCTTGTGTGTTCAGATTTTATAATTTTTTGTTTTTTCAATTTTTTGTTTCTTCAATTTTTCGATTTCCAATTTTCCAATTATTCATTTCTTTGTGTCTCTTTGAGTTTGACATTTCACTTCGTTATGTTTATTTTCTTTATTTTTTTTTAATTTTTGTGTTTTTATTGTCCTGATTTTATAATTATCCTTTTTTTGAATTTAAAAATTTTCAATTTTTGGATTTTTCAATTTTTCGGTTTGAAATTTTTTGATTTTCATTTTAAATATTAAATAATTATAATTAAAAAAAATTCCATTTGTTAATTATTGCGTTCTAAAACTTTTTCATTTATTCAACTTTTCATTTTATCAATTTTTAATGTTTCGATTTTTAATTTTTCAATTTCTCGTCACATATTTAATTTTTCAATTTTTCGATCTTTACAATTTTTGGGTTTTCGATTTTCAAGTTTCTGGATTTTTTTTCTTAGAGGATATACAATTGCCAAAATCAGTCTTCTATTAGCAAGTAACATAAAATAACATCAATTTTGGCAAATAACATACCCTCTAAGAAAAGAGAGGGCGAGTGAGCGGAGCTAATACCGGCTGACATAAGACTGATTTTGGCAAATGACATACCCTCTAAGAAAAGAGAAGGCGGGGCTATCATGAACGTTCGTCTCGACGGGTTTTCCTGAAAAAATGGTCACCAGAATGAAGAGAGGGTGGGTGGGAGGGCTCATTGTTTGTCTAAAAAAGACTCTCTAGGAAAAACTAAAACTTAGCCCCGCCCACCCACCCTCTCTTATCTCATTGATTTTTCTCCTGATATAAGAAAAAAATCTTATAACAAATAGTACAACAAAAAAATTACATGTATACCCGATTTAAGCAAATTTTCACCTATTTTAGACTATTTTAGAAAATTTAATTAAACACGTTTTCTCGTAGACTTCGGGCCGCGGAAGTTATTTCCGGTCTGATTTCTTCCATAAATCCAACCGTTTTTCCAAAATCGCGCATTGAAACATGGCAATTTTTAAAAATTTCGAAAAATTATAATTTCACTCCGAATATTTCGATATATATATATATGAAATGACAGTTTCAATATAAAAATAATTTAGGTTATTTCTGGCTCTCATAAACACGTGACGTATGTCATAGTTGTCAAATTTATCGTGAACGTTCGTCTCGACGTGTTTTCTGGAAACAATTAACAGTATTAAGAGTGGTCACCAGAATGAAGAGGGGGCGGGTGGGCGGGCCTACTGCTTGCCTATAAAAGACTCTCTAGGAAAAAGATAAACTTTGCCCCGCCCACCCACCCTCTCTTCATTCATTGATTTTTCTCCTGAAATAAGAAATAATTCTTATAACAAATAGTACAACAAAAAAATTACATGTATACCCGATTTAAGCAAATTTTTCACCCTTTTTCGACTATTTTCGAAAATTTAACGAAACACGTTTTCTCGTAGATTTCGCGTCGCGGAAGCCACTTCCGGCCTGATTTCTTCGATAAATCCAACCGTTTTTCAAAAATCGCCCATTGAAACATGGCAGTTTTTAAAATTTTCAAAAAATTATAATTTCACTCCGAATATTTCGATATATACAGCGTGTTATTGAAAGGTACGTACAAAATAAAATCGACATTTGGTCTTGACGTATGGATGCTAAAAGTTAAAAAAAGTTCAGGTAAAAGTGTTCTCCTTTTAGATATAAAAATTATTAAAATTTATGTCCAAATTTGTTGTACGCCTCTGATAAAAAGATCATCTCTCGTTTCTATAGCAACATTTAGTCTTGACAAAAGTTTTATTGTTACAGTTGCTAGGATTTGCTAAAATAAATTAATTTTACCTATTTATCGTTCAGTAGCGTCTAAAAAGGTTGGATAAGGGTTAATTTTTCCCTTATAATTTTGATAACACAAAATAAGTTTTTCTGACTTCTTAGACTTCGCGAAGAACTGTCAATTTTTTTGTACGTACCTTTCAATAACACCCTGTATATATGAAAAGCCAGTTTCAATATAAAAATAATTTAGGTTATATAACTGGTTGTCAGAAAGACGTGACGTATGTCATAATTATCAAATTTATCATGAACCATCGTCTCGGCGGCTTTTCCTGAAATAATTAATAGTATTAAGAGTGGTCACCAGAATAAAGAGGGGGTGGGTGGGCGGGCCCATTGCATGCCTATAAAAGATTCTCTAGGAAAAAGTTAAACTTAACCCCGCCCACCCAACCCCTCTTCTCTCATTGATTTTTCACCTGATATAAGAATTAAGTCTTATAACAAATAGTACAATAAAAAAATTACATGTATACCCGATTTAAGCAAATTTTTCACCCATTTTCGACTATTTTCGAAAATTTAATGAAACACGTTTTCTCGTAGATTTCGGGCCGCGGAAGTTACTTCCGGCCTGATTTCTTCGATCAATCCAACCGTTTTTCCAAAATCGCCCATTGAAATATGACAATTTTTAAAAATTTCAAAAAATTATAATTTCGCTTCGAATATTTCGATATATATATGAAATGACAGTTTCAGTATAAAAACAATTTAGGTTATAGAATTGGTTGTCAGAAACACGTGACATATCTCATAGTTGTTGTCAAATTTTCATCAACGTGCGTCTCAATGGGTTTTCCGGAAATATTAACAGTATTAAGAGTGGTCACCAGAGTGAAGAGGGGGCGGGTGGGTGGGCCCACTGCTTGCCTATAAAAGACTCTCTAGGAAAAAGGTAAATTTAGCCCCACCCACCCACCTCCTCTTCTCTCATTGATTTTTCTCCTGAAATAAAAATTATATCTTGTAACAAATAGTACAATAAAAAAGCCCTTTTTTACAGGCTAGTTTCCGTTATGTGCTTACCACTCCCACTCTGCAGAAGAACATGTATAATATAAACCCCGCCCACCCGCCCGCCTCCATTTCGGTGATTAATTATATTAAAAAAATAGTAGAACCAAAATTAATTGCAGCACAAAGAAGACGAAATTTGTTGTCCAAAAAAAATAACATTTTAAGTTTAGAGAATTTAAAAATTAATTACCAACTGTCTAAAATTTCGGTTGGTTAAGATTATTTACCCTTGTGTTTTATATTTTCCTTATTACATATTCTATTTTTTGTATTTTTATTTGACATGCCATTAACGTATGTTGTACATATATGTAATATGGGAAATAAAACATCACTATAAATGAAAAAAAATCCTTGAAATATAAGGTTTAAATCGAATGATTTGCAGAACGAAAATAATAATTTATCTGTTTTCTCACCAACGGATTAACAGATTTGCCGAATGTTCTAATAAGACAATAATTAACAATATTAGGAGTAGTCACCAGAATGAAGAGGGGGCGGGTGGGCGGGCCTACTGCTTGCCTATAAAAGACTCTCTATGAAAAAGATAAACTTTGCCCCACCCACCCACCCCCTCTTCTCTCATTGATTTTTCTCCTGAAATAAGAAATAAATCGTGTAACAAATAATACTAGTTTCCGTTATGTACTTACCACTCCCACTCTGCAGAAGGACATATATAATATAAACCCCGCCCACCCGCCCGCCTCCATTTCAGTGATTAATTTTATTAAAAAAATAGTAGTACCAAAATTAATTGCAGCAAAAAGAAGACGAAATTTATTGTTTAAAAAAAATAATAACAGTTTAAATTTAGAGAATTTAAAAATTAATGACAATCTTTCCAAAATTTTGGTTGATTAAGACTATTTACACTTGTATTTTATATTTTCCTTATTACAGATTCTATTTTTTGTATTTTTATCTGACAAAACATCACTATCACTATAACTATAAACGAAGAAAAAGCGAGTGAAATATAAGGTGTAGAAAATAGTAGATTGTTCCACAAATAAAGAAAACTAGTCGTCTTCCAGCGAGTATAAAAGGTTTAATTCACGAGCGCCTCGAGATTATAGAAAAAATCCTGTCGATTAAATTTTCTTGCGATCCTTCAGGCCATGAATCTTTATTAAAATTAAATTATTTGTTGCCATCTTTACGGACATTACGTCGGAACGCAGAGCATAGAATTTTTTCGTTATTTAAATTTAGAATAAAAAAAAAAACTCACAACAGATCTGTAAATCACACACGCAGAAGTACGTCATTTAATAAAATTTAAATAAGATTGACTAGTGTAAATTTTGAAGATGACGTCATTGTATTGGTGGTGGGAATGATTAGCGAAATTTTTCTTAGCGTTTTACACAATATACACGATATTCCAAATACATATAGAATATTAAATTTAACAATAATCGGTCAAGAAGTTTCAGAGATAATCAGTCTAATAAAAATCTGGACCGACGACAGACAAACAGACAGACGGACGGAAATGAGAGATACATTTTTTCTTACACTCAACTAAATAGTGCATCATTAAGACAGTTGTATTTTGTGAAGGGAAAATTTATAGTAATTTCGTTTGTTATCTAGAAAAATTTCATACCGGATCATTTTGATGAGCTGATTTTCCAAGACCTGCTTTTTGCGGGCTATTTTGACGAGTCACGATTAACTTACATATTATATAAAGTACAATTTCTAGTTTCAAAAACATTGAGTATTGGTCAATCTGTTTTTTTTTTTTTTGTAAGAAACAAATGATTTGGATTAGGGAAGATAAGTCAACCAAAGCGGCATTGAAAATCGGACCAGACCAAGTAGCAAAGAGCGGAGAATTAATTTATTAATAAATTTTAAACATTTATGTGAATAAATAAAACCCAACAACACACCTATTTTGAAATAAACCTTTTCGTTACAAAAACAGTGCTAATTATCTTTCCCGATCTCCATTCGCCCTCCCCCAGCCTCAATAAAACTACAATTTTCAAAAACCCGACCAAGATTAACGCACGTACAATACCCTGCGGTATTGCAAAAGTTCGGCCTTATCCCGGCTCTGATTATTGCTCAGCATCCTCCTCGTTCATATGTGGCTTAAATGAATTTCGCCCGTGGCAGGCCGGCTTCAGATACATTTTCAAAAATTAGTGCATGCCGGAAGGGATGGCCGCGCAAAATAATTAATATAAATAAAATACGCGGAAGAGCTGCACAATTAAAAACGAATTTAGCCGTGCCGGGATTGTTTTTGCATTAAACCGAGTCGCCGTATTTAAAGTTAAATTGGAATTTTTTAAATTATTATTTCACTCGGAATTGTAAAAGTTTCGCCAAGCCGGCGAGGAACGGGAACGGAGCTGCGATTAAGAACACCTGGATTTTCGCGTTTTGATCTGGAATGGGAGCGCGGACCGCAAATATGTCCACGAACAAGTTAGTTTTCTTTGGGGGTTGTTTGGTGAGTAGTTCGCCGGGCGGGATTGAGTGCACTCGGCGATGTTTGCACTGTTCCAGATTCGGGATGTAAATGTGTCTGGTTGAGGGGAAAATGGTAATTAATGTTATGAATTAATGGGAGCAGCACGAAATAAATTATAGGGTAATTAAACTTCTGGTGCATTTAATTGTGCACGTCATTGTAAATATACTAACTACACAGTTTTTGCTTCAATAATAATAAATATATGTTTATTTCACCCTGTATATATTTAGTTCGCTCTCTCCAATCTAGAATATGAAATTCCTGTCTAGGAACGAATACCTCACGAATTTATATCTCCCTGATGAGAGTTTCCGGATAAGTTTGAATTTGAAAATAGCTAAACAGTAAAACATATAACAGTTGTTTGAAATTTAAATTGTATAGAAACTATTCGAATTCGATTTAAAGTTAATATTATGTTCAACGATGATTTTACTACGTGGAACGATATTATCCTGAAGTGCCATTGCATCGCTTCAGAATTATTGTTGTTAGATGTTTTATAGCTGCCAGAATATGAAAAAGTAGGTTCACTTTTTTTGTACCAGGTTTAATTTTGTTTATAGACTGTCAATCAGTGAAGACTGTTACCAACATAAATCAACAGGTGGTGAATCGTTAAAAATTGAACCGATTACATTTTCAAAATGTTTTTCTAAAAAACAAGTCAAATATATACCAGCACTGACATTACATTTCGAAAGAAACTGTCAATGTAAAAATAATTTAGGTTATATAGCTGGTTGTCAAAAACACGTGACGTTTGTTATAGTTGTTGTCAAATTTATCATAAACGTTCGTCTCGACGGAATTTCCTGAAATAATTAACAGTATTAAGAGTGGTCACCAGAATAAAGAGGGGGCGGGTGGGTGGGCCTATTGCTTGGGCTTAAAAGACTCTCTAGGAATAAATTAAACTTTGCCCCGCCCACCCTCCCCTCTTTTCTCATTGATTTTTCTCCTGATATAAGGAATAAATCTTGCAACAAATAGCACAACAAAAAATGACATGTATACCCGATTTAAACAAATTTTCACCCATTTTCGACTATTTTAGAAAATTTAATTAAACACGTTTTCTCGTAGATTTCGTCCCGCGGAAGTTACTTCCGGCCTGATTTCTTCGATCAACCCAACCGTTTTTCCAAAATCGCCCATTGAAACATGGAAATTTTTAAAAATTTCAAAAAATTATAATTTCACTCCGAATTTTTGATGTATATATGAAATGACAGATTCAATATAAAAATAATTTAGGTTATATAATTGATTGTCAGAAACACGTGACGTATGTCATAGTTGTCAAATTTATCATGAACGTTCGTCTCGACGGGTTTTCCGGAAATAATTAACACTATTAAGAGAGGTCGCCAGAATGAAGAGGGGGTGGGTGGGCGGGCCTATTTCTTGCCTTCGAAAGACTCTCTAGGAAAAAGTTAAACTTTGCCTCGCCCACCCACCCCCTCTTCTTTCATTGATGTTTCTCCTGAAATAAGAAATAAATCTTGGAACAAATAGTACAATCAAAAAGCCCTTTTTTACAGGCTAGTTTCCGTTATGTACTTATTACTCCCACTCTTCAGAAGGACATATACATATTATAAACCCCGCCCACCCCCCCGCCACCATTTCAGTGATTAATTTTTTTAAAAAAATAGTAGTACCAAAATTAATTGCAGCAGAAAGAAGACGAAATTTATTGTCTAATAAAAAATAACATTTTAAATTTAGAGAATTTAAAAATTAATTACCAGCTGTTTAAAGTTTTGGTTGGTTAAGACTATTTACACTTGTATTTTATATTTTCCTTATTAAACATTCTATTTTTTGTATTTTTATTTGACAAGCCAATAACGTATGCTGTACATATATGTAATATTACGAATAAAACGTCACTATAACCGAAAAAAAAACCCTTGAAATGTAAGGTTTAGATCTAATGATTTACAGAAGGAAAATAATAATTTATCTCTTTTTTCACCAACGGATTAACAGATTTACCGAATGTTCTAATAAGACAATAATTAACAATATTAGGAGTAGTCACCAGAATAAAGAGGGGGCGGGTGGGTGGGCCTAATACTTGCCTATAAAAGACTCTCTAGGAAAAATATAAATTTAGCCACACCCACTCACCCCCTCTTCTCTCATTGATTTTCCTCTTGAAATAAGAAATATACCTTGTAACACATAGTACAATAAAAAAGCCCTTTTTACAGGCCATTTTCCGTTATGTACCTACCGCTCCCACTCTGAAGAAGGAAATATATAATATAAACCCCGCCCACCCGCCCGCCTCCATTTCAGTGATTAATTTTATTAAAAAAACAGTAATACCAAAATTAATTGCAGCAGAAAGAAAGTGAAATTTATTGTCTAAAAAAAACTAACATTTTAAATTTAGAGAATTTAAAAATTAATTACCAACTGTATAAAATTTTGGTTGCTTAAGATTATTTACCCTTGTATTTTATAGTTTCCTTATTACACATTCTATTTTTTGTATTTTTATTTGACATGCATTAACGTATGCTGTACATATATGTAATACGGCGAATAAAACATCACTATAAACGAAAAAAAAAACCTTGAAATATAAGGTTTAGATCGAATGATTTATAAAAGGAAAATAATAATTTATGTTTTCTCACCAACGGATTAACAGATTTGCCGAATGTTCTAATAAGACAATAATTAACAGTATTAAGAGTGGTCACCAGAATAAAGAGGGGCTGGATGGGCGGGCCTACGCTTTGCCTATAAAAGACTATCTTGGAAAAAGGTAAATTTAGCCCCACCCACCCACCCCCTCAACTCTCATTGATTTTCCTCCTGAAATAAGAAATATATCTTGTAACAAATAGTACAATTAAAAAGCCCTTTTTTACAGGCTATTTTCCGTTATGTACTTACCACTCCCACTTTGCAGAAGGAATATATATATTATATACCCCGCCCACCCGCCCGCCTCCATTTCAGTGATTAATTTTATTAAAAAAAATAGTAGTACCAAAATTAATGGCAGCAGAAAAAAGACGAAATTTGTTGTCTAAAAAAAATAACATTTTAAATTTAGAGAATTTAAAAATTAATTACCAAGTGCCTAAAATTTTGGTTGGTTAAGATTATTTATTCTTGTATTTTATATTTCCCTTATTATACATTCTATTTTTTGTATTTTTATTTGACATGCCATTAACGTATGCTGTACATATATGTAACATGGCAAATAAAACATCACTATAAAAGAAAAAAAAACCTTGAAATATAAAGTTTAAATCGAATGATTTACAGAAGGAAAATAATAATTTATCTGTTTTCTCACCCACGAATTAACAAATTTGCCGAATGTTCTAATAAGACAATAATTAACAATATTATGAGTAGTCACCAGAATGAAGAGGGGGCGGGTGGGCGGGCCTAGTGCTTGCCTACAAAAGACTCTCTAGGAAAAAGGTAAATTTATGTGACCCTACATTTCGAAAGAAACTGTCAACTTCCACTCGGTGACAACGGAAAAACTGCTAAGTATTTTATTGAAAAGATCGTTAAGTATGAATTAGGCCGTCAGATCGAAACATACTGAAACAAGATATATCGTTTCAGTCGGTTCACACCTCACACTACATTATTTTCTGTATAAAATAATAAGTGAAATAAAAAATATATTGACATGTTTTCAGGTTCGATAAGAAGGATCAGTTACTCAGGATAGACTGTCCGGCCTAAATCTGCCCGCGTGTCACTCCATTATAAATAAAAAGCTCACGACAACCACAACGTTTGTGTTGAAATATAAAAGAAAATGCCAACCGCAACTTTTTGTTTCTGCGCGTCACGTTTATTTATTCACATCGATGTGGCTATTTGTGTTGCAGTGTGGTGAATCGGAAACAACATCCATGTTTTCTTTTTTATCGATCCTGCGAGCTCGACTCTGCAAAATAAAAACCATTTCAAAACTGTCCAGCTCTGGCCGCATTTATCCCATGCCACAACTATAAAGCGTTCATGATGTTTGTAGTCAAAAGTGAGCCATGAAAATTTTCTTCACGACTGAAAGAAATATTGAAAACATGAAAGTAGCGAGTCGCCTTAAAAAGACAAAGAAAAATTGTTAAACCTTACGATTCTGGGCGAAATAAATTGACTCTGACAATGTTGTTGTATTTAAACTTCTGCCGTATTGATTTCAGAGAAACTTTTTTTCATTAATGTCTACCTGAGTTCCATTTTCATAAGGTTATCTCCTTCCACAATAACGGTATAAATTTCCATATTTTTGATCAAGTTTCCCAATTAACACTTCTTTCAGCGTCACTGCCACGATGCAAAATACCAAAGTTAATTTCCTGTTCCAGGATGTTCAGTCTACTTCGGCAACATCTCAATAAACCCCCTATAGAAAATCAGCGTCGAAAACTTTCCCCTCGAATAATGCGGGCGGAAAATAAGAAAATTAGGCATGTCCGCTCCCGCCACCGAAACTGGCCGGGAAAACGCCTCTTCCTGTCGCGGAAATTAAAAATAAACGACAAACGACCGTGAAATTTTAATTAAACAGCATTTTCAATGAAACTAGAGAAACACAA